ACTCAAAATTTGGTTTCATCATTTGATTTTCAAGAGGGTCATTTGGACAACCCTGACATACTTACAGTCTGACTTACAGTACATAGCCTTTGGACGCCAGGGCCATGTGCGCTTTGCTTCACATGAGGAGGCTGTGGGTCTCTTGGCTGACTTTGCTGAAGACGATGAGGAAGGCAGATGCGCAGTTCTGCGAAAGTGGTGCTGAATTGTTTTGAAACGAATATGCGATATCCAAGACACACCACCTCAGACTACCTAGCTCCATCCAGCTTCCGCGGAACTTTTCAATACACAAAATTCTACTTGTTATGACGTAACTTGTGACATAACTATGATTGTTAGATGATGTATGATGCTATGATCTCACATTCTGGATCATCCAGTTTTACGCATTCATGATCATTCATCTTTGTTCCAAGGCACCAAAGTAGTCGACACTGTGTCTTGATTTCCTTAAACTTCGTCTGAACACCTCTAAAACATTTGAGATGAACGCGCTTCCTGGGCAGACTGCGTTTCATTTGGAGTTGCCAATCGCGAAACAGTCGGAGTGCAGGGAAATTGGTCGCTGTCGGAGAGGCTAGGCAACCAGAAAAGTTTCTAGCGAAACGAGTCATGAGAATCTTATTTTGATGCATTTCAGCTGCATTTCCAATATATTTGTCACTGTCACTGACGAGTGATGACATCTTTGGAGGCTGCAAAACTTGCGCGTTCGGCAGCAGAAGGTCCCGTCTGCACGGACCACATCGGATTGATTGATATCTAAGTTTTGCAATCAACTTTAAAGGAAAGTGAGCCATCCAGTGCCATTCATGATGATTGCTCAATGTTTTTCACGATTTTCCTTCTGAGTCCAAGCCTTCCATGGACCGATGGGACAAGCGCATATGTTGCAATCCAGAAAACAGGTGATGGCGTGAGGGCATTGCAACGGACCATCTTCTTAGATGAGTTGAAGATGCCAAAGAAGCCTTACGTCAAGCCTGCTAACGAGGACTTATCTTCAACTGCTTGGGATCACTGGCAATACTTCTGATTTAGTAATTGGGAGTATCGCAAAGGGAATCCACACTAACGAATCTACATACATATTGTTTGAGTGAATCATTTAACGAAATCTAAAGTGCATTGAAGTGCTACCCATAGGATCGGTTGTTGCTTGTTTCAGGTTGCTACATGGAAGCATTTGCATTTTACTTTCTTACAGGCTAATGTACTTCTATATCGAGAAATTGTGGGCACACTGACTGCTGCAGATTGCGGTTGAAGTTCTTTATCATGCATTATATGTATTGGGATTGTCAGAGATTGTCCTTATCATCGATCGCATTTAGTGTTCTCATCGTTGTGTCCAAATACCGTTCCAGTCATCCAGTCATAGTCAACACTTATTCTCCAGTTGAACTTTTCCCGGTGACGCCCTTCTAGGACACCGCGACTTGGGAGGAACTTGGACAGCCTGAAGAATTGCAGGCACCCAAGCAATGACCAAAATGATGCCGAATACACATGAGACATGAGAATTTGTTGAGCCATTTTGAGCGCATTTTTTGTCCATGACCAACAATAACTTTTGTTGATTCTAGATGCAAGATGACATTCTCGTGGCACAAGAGTTTTGATCCACAGTGCCTGTGCTAGTTAGAATAGATCACCAGATGATCAAGTTAGTACAATTGATTTCCAAAGTTATTGCCATATTGGTGGAAATAGGATGTTCATTGTGGTTAAAAATCCACGCCGATAAACGGTCTCTATGTGATGATTTGGGGATGACAAAAAATACATTCGTTTTGTGCTACTCAGAGGTCGATTCTTCTGAGATGATTTTGTGATCAGATGACTCAAAGACCATCCGACGATTTTTCAAAGTGTTTCATCAAGTTTCACATCTAAAAGTTTGCCTTAGATTTTTTTGGTTGGGTTTTGTGAACATGTTACTTTTGTTCATAACATTGTTGCAACCAAATTTTGGGATTTTGGTCAAAAAATGATTTGAAGTGTGTTAAAACAGAGAACAGAGGAGCACTTGACACCCCAAATAAAGATGAGCGTCGAGCTAAACGACGTTACAAAAGACAATCTGGACGAAGCAAATGAGCCTAAAATGAAAGGACACCAATGAAGTTTCAATTTGATCCTTTCAAGGGTGGGAACGAAGTTTGCTGGGTAGTGGAGACTGCAAGAGGGATGGCTTGCCAAACATAAATCTGGTGCACCACGCCTAGGCAGCAGGCTGCAAGGTGAAGAAACCTTTCAACGGCGAAAAAGAGCGAACGCGAATGTCCATCAGGTGGCCATTTTTGGGAATATCCCTGAATTTGGGGTGAAGATGTTGTGATGCCAAACTGACTGGTGATACTCACGATGAAAAACATTGGTTGTTGTATTTCCAGCTTGGATAAGCTTCATAGGGTGATAGCAAGGCCTAGGGCTTTGCACTGCTAACTATCTACCCAGGTTGAAATCAGACCTTTGCTGCAAGGTCTTGGAAAGTAGTTCCACTGGAAAGGTGCACCACCTCACGACATAAGTGCTTCCCAACTCAGATGGCTCTTGTTGAAGTTTGCGGCTGTTCGAAGTTTGGTTCAAGCCGCCGGCCCAACATCCAAACCAGTTGTCCTTGAGGCAGCTGAATGACAGAGAGTGGAAGTCTGCAACCAGTTCAAACGGTGTTTCTCAAAATTGGGGATAAGAAGAACATCGTCCTTGTCCTTCTGGAGATCGTAACATCTCTAAATCATCTGGGGTCACCACTTTTGAGACCTACAGTATACCAACATGAAGGACATATATAGAACCTGCGCACTGTGATTGGAGATGATGCTTCGCATCTTGTTGGCCAGTGCCAAAGATGTACTCGGACTTCTCTTGGAAGGATGCCCCGCTTTCGTCTGGAAGGGTGCCGGTGATCACAGGTGCCTCAACGGTGTTGTTTTTGCGGACTGTTGGTCATGGGCTTGGAATTTGGAAGATGTTGATAGCTGCACCTAAAGGCTGCCGTTTGCTGAAAAGTATTGCATATTTGCTGGTAGTGTCCTTGTTGCCCCAGATTGTCAGAGGCTCAGAACATTGCCGTGATTTGATGGAAATTGATCAGTCCATCCCCTTGCTGTGCAAGGGCCGGAACGCAGATCAAACGCGGAAGCATGTCTCAGGTTCCCAATGGTGGGTACCGGGTGGAAGGCATTCTTGTTGTCCACAGCTTCTTTCTTAGTTCTGAACTCAGCCCTGCCCATGGCACAGCTCACCAGAACACCATCTCAAACTAAGCTGAATGGAGACGCAACTTCATAGTTTCTTGTTCATCACTGGCCATTTCTTAAGGTGGACTCTCCCTGGTGATGTTCCTTGGATGTACCGTCGAGGTATTTCGCCGTGTCCAAGCTGATGGCTGGGGCTGGACGCCCGAAACCTAATCAAGTTTTTCATATAAAAGCTTCCGGAGTGGAACAACTCAAATTCCTCGCGATCTAACGATTTGTCCCTCTGGGCCTGACCTCTGAGGGTCTGTGAACAGCCTGGTGGGCGATCAGCAGGTTGCTTCCCCAGTGCCTGTGCCAGTTTGCAGGGTCTGTTTCATGATGCTAGCAGAACTTTGACAAAGACCTTGGACCGTCCAGGTCCTTTGTACTTTTGGACCTACATTTTTTACGCAGCGACCTTAGCCTAAAATTTTCGAGACAGAATCTTTGCAACTATGCCGTTGATAACCTTGCTGAGCTGATGAGGTAAGTAAATTTTACGAACTTCTTGACACAAGCCTGGTGATGGTCAAGGGCTCTAGGCAATCCAGCTCGATAGACAACAGTGGTGCATCATTCCGTGGAGTTGGCTCGTGTTTTTCTTTTGTTGCGCCTTGCGAACGTTTGGTTTGGGAGTGTATTCACTGCGTTTTCCCCTGCAGGCCACCGCACTACATGCTCCACATTTTTCATCATTCAGCTGTCCCGGTGCGAATCTTAGTGCAGTTTGCCGCTTGGGGTTTGACATGGATTCCTGCGCTGGAAGCTTCGCCCCTTTCCATGATCTTCAGGTACTTGTGTGGGCATGGCTACAATGGCAGATGTCTCTCCAGCACATAGGCGAGTGCACGTTGCCCACCCTTTTTGTATTTTTTGTTCTCTCCAAGTCTCGGCGAGGCTTGCTGTGGAACAGTTTGGTCCATGTGGTGATGTATTTCTACTATGGGCTGCAAGTTCCATGCTCAGGTTGCAGAAAAAAGATGAACATACAAGTCAGAAGAACCGATGTGAAATGTCTGCCGCCTGAAAAAATGCGTGAAACCATGAACGCGTGGAAGGCTTTGGGAATGCGGCCGACAGCACCTTAGACTTTCTTGGGAGTGTCGCTCTTACAGCCGTAGCAGGGCGGAACTGCGACAGCTGAGGCCATGGAAACGTTGGGTCACTAGACTCCAGATCTGTCAATTTTTGACCAGCATACCCTGTGCCTTCCTCGTGTGGCATAAGATTAAGGCGGGGAATGGCCAGCGCTTTTTCTTCAGCGTGGCGTTTCATTTCAACAAGTTCCACTTGATCCAGAGGAAATGCAAAGTCAGGCAGCTCCATTTGGAGACATTTGCACGGGACAGTGGACCATGTGGGCCTCGCCCTCAATATACACGCAGCATGATGGTTTTGGTTGCAGATTTCCACTGTTGACCTGAATGCTCTTAGGCCAACATTCTATTTAATCTGACGCTGCTGGTCCTGTTTTGGCAAGTGGAAACGGAGGCAGGGGGCCAACTGAGCCCAGTGGATCGGAGGCAAAGCAACACGCAGGCACAAAGAAATTGCATCAATGGACATTGTTTTACAAGAAACAACTCTAGTGTTTGCGGATCAGGCAAAGCCAAGGACAAACCACAGCCCAGTGCCTCTTCAGGAGTCTTTGGTGGCTTCATTGTTGGTTGGACTCATTCCCTTGAATTTTGGAAAGACCCATGTTTGTCAGAGCTGTGATTCGGGGCGGTCAAACTGCAGGATGTGTCTGCACTGTGAAAGCTGATGTCGAAACGTTGACGGCCCAAGAGCCAGAGCTATTTGCTGGAGAAAACGGTTCCTTGTCCTTCCAAGCCTCGTTTCTGACAAGTGGGGTTCGTGCCTTTACTCGCTATGAAACAAGCAATCACACATTGGAAGGGCAGCGCATTCAACTAGGGGCGGGCTAAGGTTGAGTAATTGACAAGTTTTCCAAAGCAAGGCATGCGTGTAAAGTTGGCTCAGAGCAATATTGTGCCACTGCGCAACCAGTCATTCATGCCATATATCTTGCAAAGGGCATTGACGCGACATGACACTGTCACCTCAAATGCGTAGCAAACAGTGTCACAAGCAGGGTCACAAGCAGGTCAGTAACTGTCAACAATTTTTTGGCCTTGGTGACCTTTGTGGCTTGTTTCAGCCTTGTTTCACGGTTCGAACTTGACTTGTTTCTTCTCCTGGAGCGATGGATTCACTTGTGCCTGGCTTTTCATTGTCGCTGAAATTCTTCCCACTCCTTGATGCGTGGGCTGGAACAATGGCAGATAGATACCCCGGCCCCTATGGAGAGAAGCTTCGGTTTCTTTTGGCGCCCCTATCGTGTGGATTTATGGTTTTTGCCTGCAAACAATTCGGACAAGTCAAATCTAGACCTATTGTGGAGTAGTGGAGCACACCTAGGTGACTGAGTCCAAACCATGGAAACAAGTTGAACATACAGCGCGCGCATGGTTTGCTTTCCAGTTTCCTTGTTTGAAAACAATTTTTCAGATCTCGAACCGAAAGAAAGCGACTGTTGATTCCAACTAAAATGAGAACAAATTTCAGGGTTGTTCTGACGCCAAGCATTACATTCTTGGATGGTTGTCTGGCAGGATGTGGACGTCAATGAGCATGCCAGGAACATGGATAGCTACTTTCAGGAGACGATAAATGCCATGGCAGTGCTTCAAAATGAGGTGTGGACGCCTGCTGGCATCGCATGCATGTTTCCGCAGTGCTCAGTCGTTTTTCTTCATGTTTTTTTTATGTGTTCAAAGCGCCAAGGGATTGCCTGGTGAGGCCCGGAGAGTAGAAAAGCAGTTGGTTGACATTTGGGAGGCGGGTATTGTTGGCAAAGTGGGTGGATGAACATCAGCAGATCATAGCAGATCTACTCTTGCCCGCCTCGAAGGGCGTCTCTGGAGCCTTGGCATGGTGTTGCCACACCGGGGCACAGCCGGGGTCTGACGGAACGGAGGTGCCGCCACATTGATTCGGGGTATGTTTCGGGTGGAAAAAAGGGTGCCACTGTGATCACTGTGATCACTGCGTTCTGTTTCAACTTTGATGAGTCATGAAGACAGGGCCTTGCAAGGAAGAACCCAGCACACACTTGAGGTGTTGAAGGCTGCAAAATTTGAACATGTTCGTTTCATCTTGTCGAAAGATCAACGGACTAGGAATCGTAATTATTGGATTGACAACGGCAATCATGGTTGACAGCGATGCTGCAAACGACGTTGCTTGCTGGTGATCTTAGCTCAACTTGCATGATTTTTGGGAAGTCATTCGGAGCTGCGCAAGGGGACTTAGTGGGGCCAGAATTGGCAGGGATTCAAGTGAGAGGTTTGTAAATGGGAACATCCAAATCTGGCATTTCGAAATAAAGACGGTGTTGTGTACTTGGGGATGATTTAGCTGTGAGTCGAATGCAAGAATGTTTCGTCAGAGACGACCCTTTGATGCAAAGTAAAGTGGGCACGAATTTCGAAAATTGATATTCCCCTTTCCCATTGCATCGAACCATCCAAAGTATGGGATGCTCAATAGCTTGACCACATGACCTACCAAGCCTGCTAAAAATGCTGGAACTAGTAGCCAGCGTCATTTGTTTAACTTTGATCAGCCACGTTGGGCCAAGGAGGCTTTCAATCGGATTGGGCTGTGCTACCACTCTGGTGATAGCGGCTGCCACAGCATGGATACTGAGGCACCAGAGAGCACCCTGTGGCCTCCTCACCGGTCAATCATGATTGATAACAGGAACAACCCTCAATGGATACATGTTTCATCGTTTCTCTATGTTTCTTTTGCCCAAATTATTTTTCGAGTGATGAAAGGCTGGAAATTGAACGTCAACAAGAAACACGGGCCCCTTGCCCATGCTGTTTTGCGGAACATATTTTGTTTACCAGCTTGTGGTTCTTTCCGGGCATAGTTCATTTTCTGATGATCTTCGCTTTCAGGGTGAACTCAGAAGAAGAAAAATCTCAGATATGTCCAAGTCTCTGAAGAAATGTCTCCAGTTGATGCTCTGCGACCCACAGGCGCTACGTGCCACAGCCGAGTCCTCGTAGCGAGTGCCTCCTGCAGCTGATCATGGCGCAGCTGGCAGCGCTGCTGCAGCTGACGCAGCTCTGGACGGTGCTCGCCGGCTTGACACCTGCAGCGGACACAGCAGCAAACGTCGCAGACGCGGATTACAACGCGCAAAGAATCTTGGCAGCGGAGTTTTGGAAACGGGAAAAACAGGATGCTGCCCGTCTTTTGCAGGTAGCACATATTGAAGCTGTGGCATGAGTGAAAACACGTATATCACGATAAAACCGAAAACCACCGCAATTACATGACTAATAATTAACCTCACCAATCCGCAAAATCTTTTGTCCATCAGAGACTTGGATGGGGGAAGTTGAGCGCACAGTTTTGCTGGCATCAGAATCCAGGAAATCGATGGAAATCGCGTTTGTGACACCAAAAGCATCCAAAAGGATGAAAACGCACTTTCCCAGCGGTTTTCCTGCAAACTGGTTGCCGAAAATCAAACAGTGTCATCCGGTGATTCAGAGTGCGCGGGCGGCAAAGGCGATGCACTGCTTACTTGGAAGCCTTGCAATTCACCGGTTCTGAAGTTCAAAACTTCCTGGCTCTGCAGCGTTTTTATGATGCTCGGCTGATTTAAGGAGCCTTCAAGTTCCATACTCCAGGGGCTTTTACGGCTTCTGAATCAAGATATGAAAAAAGATGTGTTTCTATCCATTTCTGTGAACATGTCAACTTTTAAGGATGGCGTCACCGTCCGTTCGATGTTTGCGCTTGCCACGCCGCTGGTTCCTTTGCTGCTCCTGATGTTATGTGGTTGCGTTTCAGAGCTTCCAGTTTGGTGGCCGCTGGCCAAAGAAAATCAACGGACTTGAAACAAGAAGCGCGGAGTTGCCTGAAGTCTGTTCGGGGACGCCCGACAAGTTGACGGAAAAGCATTGCCAAGGCTGCCAAAATGTCTGGAGGTCTGCACCAAGGTGGCCGCAGCGGCCTTGGTCTCGGTGCCTTGGAAAGTTGTTTTTAGGTGGGGGGATTGGATAGAACTCCTGTGTGCCGATGCCTGAACAAGAGCACTCCAACTACGTAGGGAGTCCGAGTCTTTAGTGATCTACTTCCACGCTTCCACGTCATTGCAATTCGAAGATTTCCATTTTTGCATCCATGCAAACTTCAGGTGGTGGCTGCGGATAACCTGTGGCTCTGCGTGGCCATCACCTTGGGAATGGCGCTGGTCATTGGCCTCGCGCAGCCCTTTGCTCAGCCGCAGATGAACGTCCTGCAGAGCGCCTGCTTCGCCTGCGCCTGGCCGTGCATGGGGGTCTTTCTCTGGCGATTGGGTTCTGGACCCTGGACCCTGAATACCCTGACCTTTGTTGAACATCAACCATGATAGACGAGAGCAGCGCATCTTTGATTGGCCAGATTTGGTTTGTCAAATGTCACAAGGTCTTTTCGCTTAGACAGCTGCATTTTCCAAATTCAATTTCGCCTTTCTTTTTTAACGAACCACATTGTTCACATTGGCCACGACATTGAACTCTCAATTCCCATCAGAAGGCTTGGTGGGACTATCCGACTATCCCTGAACTGATCTTGAATTCGATGATAAATGGAGGGAGTGTGTCATTTGACCAGACAGCCGGAAGAAAAATTGCTGCCAGTGGCTTGGTGATACCACAGCAGACGAGGCTTCAACGGCCCCAGCTGTGACCACTTTAAGGATTATACCATCTTTTCCCGCAATTCAGAATCGACACCTTAGCAAAATGTTCCCAGAAGCGACCAACCTGTTCTATGGTAAGTTAAACATGTTCACTTCCTTATGATTTCAAAGGAAATCCTCGAATCTGCAGGGTACCCCAAAAAAGTAGAACAGCATAGAACAACTATGACAAGCGAGCCCACAGTTTGTTTTGTGCTACTCGGAGGTCGATTCTTCTGAGATGATTTTGTGATCAGATGACTCAAAGACCATCCGACGATTTTTCAAAGTGTTTCATGAAGTTTCACTTCTAAAAGTTTGCCTTAGATTTTTTGGGTTGGGATTTGTGAACATGTTACTTTTGTTCATAACATTGTTGCAACCAAATTTTTGGATTTTGGTCAAAATAATTTCCGTGATTTTTTCAAACCAGGTGGCAAGTGAACCAAACCATGGCGGTGGTGATCCTTCCAGCGCCCGGAGCCACTCCTTGAGGCCGCGGCGAGATCGATGTCTGGTGGTTTTGAACAAACCCTTTGTCTGGAAAGGGTAAACATAAAGACAGGGTGAAGAAAAACATAGCTTTGTTGGAAAACATTTTTTGGAAATATATATTTAAGCGCTTACGCGCGACAGCCGGCCAGGGGCCCAACTATGTAGGCCCATTGTGTGGCTATGTTGGCCTATGTTGGCCTCATGTTGACCTATGTTGAGCCAAAAGATCCGAAAAATGGGAACAGCCAAAAAAACACTGTAAAACGCAGGATATTTTGATGGTCGGCGGCCTATCTTGGGGCTATGTGGGCCCATCTTGGGGCTACGTTGGCCTATCTTGAGGGCAATGTGGGCCCATCTTGGGGCTATGTTGGCCCATCTTGGGGCTATGTTGGCCCATCTTGGAGCTATGATGGCCCATCTTGGGGCTATCTTGGCCCATCTTTGGGCGCTATGTTGGCCCATCTTGGGGCTATGTTGGCCCATCTTGCGGCCTATGTTGGCCCATGTTGACCCATCTTGAGCCACAAGATCCGAAAAATGGGAAAAAGTGCGAAGAGCACAAAACACCGTAAAACGCGGGGGTTTTTGGCGGGGGGGAGTCGCCTGCGGCAGGGGGCGGCGGCCCCTCTCTCCTACGGAGAGGAGAGAAACGCCTTCGGCAAGGACACGGCCAGGGGGCCCCTGGCCGGATTTAAGCGCTTACGCGCGACAGCCGGCCAGGGGCCCAACTATGTTGGCCCATTTTGTGGCATCTTGGGGCTATGTTGGCCTATCTTGATGGCAATGTGGGCCCATCTTGGGGCTATGTTGGCCTATCTTGAAAGCTATGTGGGCCGATCTTGAGGCCTATGTGGACCCATGTTGAGCCAAAAGAGCCGAAAAATGGGAACAGCAAAAAATCACTGTAAAACGCAGGATATTTTGACGGTCGGCGGCCCATCTTGGGGCTACGTTGGCCCATCTTGGGGCTATGTTGGCCCATCTTGGCGCTATGTTGGCCCATCTTGAGGCCTATGTTGGCCCATCTTGAGGGCTATGTTGGCCCATGTTGACCCATCTTGGGGCTATGTTGGCCCCGCTTGGGGCTATGTTGGCCCATCTTGAAGCCTATGTTGGCCCCGCTTGAGGCCTATGTTGGCCCATGTCGACCCATCTTAAACCACAAGATCCGGGAAAAGCCGAAAAAATGCGACGAGCACAAAACACCGTAAAACGCGGGGGTTTTTGGCCCTACCGGGTGGTCTGCGGCTGGGGCGGCGGCCCCTCTCTCCTACGGAGAGGAGAGAAACGCCTTCGGCAAGGACACGGCCAGGGGGCCCCTGGCCGGAATTAAGGGCTGCCGCCCCTGCCCGGAAAATGTGCCAAGTCAGCTTTTCAGTTTGGCTGAATTCCTGTTACAACTGAACAAAGTATCACATTAACATTAATGGCTTCCTTCCTGTGAATATTTCGTGAGAATGAGTCGAGTTTGCGAGAGGCCCCGTCCCAAAAAAAGGACTCTAACCAAAAAGATAACTTCAAATTAACTTCACTGACTTCCGGGGGCTCGAGTTAGCTCAGTCCTTCAAGAAAGGTGAATTTATAACTTAGTTATAGCTAGTTACAACTTCCAAGATAAAGTAACATAGGTATCCTACCTAAACTAATTCTGGCATAAGTTAAACTATGGTTTAACTTATGCTAGAAGCTAAACATGTTGTAACTGAAGTTAAACAATGATATATTTATATACTTTGTATATTTTCTCTAACTTGGGGGCCCTGACATTGCGCTGCTGTTGTTCTCCTTGTTTGAGTTTAGATTTTGTTGCTGTCGCTGTCGCTGCAATCGTACCTGCGTTTGGAGGTTCCGTTGGATGTCTCCTTGGGCGTGAAGCTGCATGACGGTGAAATGAAGGTGCCCCACGATGTTTTCGATTTACCGACATCCATTCTTGGAAACCCTGTACCAGGCGTGCTCAGAGGCGGGTAGCTCCAACAAGGTTGAGGTGGGGCAGTGCCATGTGCATGTCAGTCTTGAGTTGCGTGCCCGACAGAGTACTCCCTAAAGCGCCATACAGCGGCTTCGGGAACTCCATTCAATTGTGCCAGGCTTCGTGTTTCCAAGTCGCGCGCATGGCTCGAGAGCCGCTTCGCTGCAGCGACAATGCTGTATGGAAAGAAACACAGCCGTGCCCTGAGGTTGACAAAACCCACGTGGATGAAGGCCAAAGATTTGAACAATTCATCGAAGGCGGGTGGTGTCAGCCTAGATAGATCGAAGGCGGGTGGTGTCATCCGGTGATTTTGAACTGTAAGGGGTCAGCCTTTGCCAAGTTACAACTTCATCAGTCTGAACTCCTTGCCAACGAGGAGAAATCTGTTCAGCATCTCGTTGAACTCTTGGGAGGTCACTGGGGTAAGATAGGTCTGGAGAAGCAATACGAAGATGCAGAGCGTGCTCTTTTCAACACCCATCAGTTGAAGGATGAGTCAAATGATTCGTACCTGGCGAGATCTGATGTGTCATGGAGTAAACTGCTGACCCGAAAGTTGACTCTCAAGGACCTGCATGCCTTCACGTTGCTCAGGGGTTCCAATCTATCCCCAGAAGACAAGAAGAAGGTGATCCTGGAATCAGATAATAGTCTGGATCTATCTATCTATCTATCTATCTATCTATCTATCTATCTATCTATCTATCTATCTATCTATCTATCTATCTATCTATCTATCTATCTATCTATCTATCTATCTAATATATCTAGCTTATCCTTTCTTCTCTACTCTAATCCAATCTAACCTATTCTAATTTTATCTATCTATCTATCTATCTATCTATCTACCTATCTATCTATCTATCTATCTATCTATCTATCTATCTATCTATCTATCTATCTATCTAATATATCTATCTTATCCTTTCTTATCTAATCTAATCCAATCTAACCTAATCTAATTTTATCTATCTATCTATCTATCTATCTATCTATCTATCTATCTATCTATCGTTCTATCTATCTATCTATCTATCTATCTATCTATCTGTCTATCTATCTATCTATCTATCTATCTATCTATCTATCTATCTATCTATCTATCTATCGTTCTATCTATCTATCTATCTATCTATCTATCTGTCTATCTGTCTATCTGTCTATCTGTCTATCTGTCTATCTATCCATCTATCTATCTATCTATCTATCTATCTATCTAATATATCTAGCTTATCCTTTCTTCTCTACTCTAATCCAATCTAACCTATTCTAATTTTATCTATCTATCTATCTATCTATCTAATATATCTATCTTTTCCTTTCTTATCTGATCTAATCCAATCTAATCTAATCTAATTTTATCTATCTATCTGTCTATCTATCTATCTATCTACCTAATGGATGGTATGTAATGTATGTAATGTATGTAATGTATGTAATGTATGTAATGTAATGTAATGCAATGCAATGCAATGTGATGTGATGTAATGTAGTGTAATGTAATGTAATGTAAGTGTAAATGTAATGCAATGTAATGCAATGTAATGCAATGTAATGCAATGTAATGCAATGTAATGTAATGCAATGTAATGCAACGTAATGTAATGTAGCGTTATGAAGTTTATTCTAATGTAATGAAGTGTAATGTAATGTAATGTATGTATAGTGATTTATTTACTATACCATTTGCTTACTAAGATGTTGTTTTAAACTATGGTTAGTAATGACGTTATTTATGTTTTTATGGTTGTTCGTGGCTGCACTAATGGTTTTGGATATGTAATTGGATAGTCGTTAAATAGATAAAACCAGAGTCAATGGGATGGGTTACCTTTCGATAATCAAACATGGCAATTGAGAACCCCTATAAGTGGAGGAATTCATGAGAAAAGCGTTGCAAATGATGGATTTTGCAGCAAGCCATGTTCACTACCAGAGGGAATCCCCAATCATCTTCCATGTGAACCCTTTCGCACGAAATGAGGGTCGATCGGCGAAAACTGAGGTAAAGTTGCGATTTTACTTGTGCCGGAGCAACCCTTTCGCACGAAATGAGGGTCGATCGGCAAAAACTGCGGAAAAATTGCGAGTTTACTTGCCCCCGAGCAACCCTTTCGCACGAAATGAGGGTCGATCGGCAAAAACTGCGGAAAAATTGCGATTTTACTTGTCCTGGAGCAACCCTTTCGCACGAAATGAGGGTCGATCGGCAAAAACTGCGGAAAAATTGCGATTTTACTTGTCCTGGAGCAACCCTTTCGCACGAAATGAGGGTCGATCGGCGAAAACTGAGGTAAAATTGCGATTTTACTGGTGCCGGAGCAACTCTTTCACACGAAATGAGGGTCGATCGGCGAAAACTGAGGTAAAATTGCGATTTTATTTGTCCCCGAGCAACCCTTTCGCACGAAATGAGGGTCGCTCGTCAAAAAGTGAGGAAAAATTGCGATTTTACGTGTCTGTGTGTAAAAGCGTCTGTGTGTAAACGCGTCTGTGTGTGTAAAAGCGTCTGTGTGTAAAATTGTTTGTGTGTAAAAGCGTCTGTGTGTAAAAGCGTTAGTGTGTAAAAGCGTCTGTGTGTAAAAGCTTCTGTGGGTAAAAGCTTTGTGTGTAAAAGTGTCTGTGTAAAAGTGTCTGTGTGTAAAAGCATCTGTGTGAAAGCGTATGTGTGTAAAAGCTTCTGTATGTAAAAGCTTCTGTGGGTAAAAGCTTCTGTGTGTAAAAGGGTCTGTGTGTAAAAGCATCTGTGTGTAAAAGCGTCTGTGTGTAAAAGCGTCCGTGTGATTCTGTGTGTAAAAAGCATCTGTGTGATTCTGTGTGTAAAAGCGTCTGTGTGTAAAAGGGTCTGTGTGTAAAAGCTTCTGTGTGTCTGTGTGTAAAAGCTTCTGTGCGTAAAAGATTGTAATTAAAAGGGTCTGTGTGTAAAAGCTTCTGTGTGTAAAAGGGTCTGTGTGTATAAGCTTCTGTGTGTAAAAGCGTTTGTGTGTAAAAGTGTTTGCGATGCAAACGATTGTCTTGCACTTCTGCTATTTTGTCTTTATACTCCGCTTCTCGACTGAATATAACACATCTTTAATATATTGTTTCTAATATGGTGTCTCCATGCTAACAAGAGAAGACCCTGCTCCTCTACGCTCTCGGGGCATCCGTCGTCTAGTTTTTTCATCGCTCACTTCGTAACCAACAAGCAGTACCACACAACCGCACAAAATACCAGCAAACAACTTGCGCAACGCAATTTTCACCATGTTTGTTCTTGCATGATTTCTGTCCTGTTTTCCAACATGCTGAAAGAGACACATACAGCAGATTATGTTGGCCAAAGTTTTCCCGAGGTCGGTTGGTACGGTAAAACTTGTTTGTTTTCTTTGTGAACTCTGGTGGTGAAAAGTGCAGTTAGAATATGGATAGGTTTGGATGGTTTTTTTCCCTCCCTCACTTCGCAACCAACACCAGCAGCACCACACAACCGCACAAAATACCAGCAACCAACTTGCGCAATGCAATTTTCACCATGTTTGTTCTTGCATGGGTTCTGTCCTGTTTTCCAACATGCTGAAAGAGACACATGCAGTAGATTGTGTTGGTCAAAGTTTTGAACAAGGTTGGTTGGTACGGTAAGATTTGTTTGTTTTCTTTTTGAATTCTGGTGGTGAAAAGTGCAGTTAGAATATGGATGTGTTTGGATTGTTTTTTTTCATCACTCACTTCACCACCAGAACCAGCAGCACCACACAACCGCACAAAATGCCAGCAAACAACTTGCGCAATGCAATTTTCACCATGTTTGTTCTTGCATGGGTTCTGTCCTGTTTTCCAACATGCTGAAAGAGACACATGCAGTAGATTATGTTGGTCAAAGTTTTCAATAAGGTTGGTTGGTACGGTAAAGCTTGTTTGTTTTCTTTGTGAGTTCTGTTGGTGAAAAATGCAGTTATAATATGGATATGTGCAGTATAAATGCAGTTAACTATGCTACGGTATGCAGTACGGCTGCCTGTACAACCAGAAACTTCTTGCGCATATTCTAAGTGGCCATAGTCTAAGTGCATGGGCCCATATTCTAAGACCAAGGTTTTCGGCTTAGCTCCGAAAACCCTATACCCCGAAGAGCGGCTTAGCTCAGCTAAGCAAATCTTGAGGTTTTATATTCTAACTGCTGGTCCGTCATAGTAGCCAGTATGACTTCTAGGGATCACAGACATATTCCATAATGTAAATACCCGGGGGTAGTGACAGTTAATCAAACATCTCCGATGTCTGGGATAAGAACAGATGTTGCTGGAAGATTTTCCGCAGCTAAGATAACAATATGACATACTTGGACGAGTTTCTACAGTTTCACCTTCTTCACCATAGTTGATGGTTAGTGGAGGGAATCTTCCCCAGATGAATTTCAGGTGCTGAAGATTGCAGTAGTTTTCCAGGCATATCTATCACGATAGGGGGAGGATGATATGGCAAGCGATGGGGAGAAACATACATGCCATCACGGACCTTGTTTTACCATCTTTGAAGGAGGAACATGCCATCTTTGGATGCTTGGAGATGCAATTCGTTGGAGGCTTGTTTGGATAACATTGCAGGATGACATGAATGCTGAGGCCCAGCGGCATGGTACTGATGAGCCATTTGAAGCAGCAACAGGCGCTCTGGTGATGGCTTGCCAATAGTTAGTCGAAATCAAAACCCCATGTGTCGCCTTTTGGCAGTGATTTCTGTAAGTTTCATCCCACATTTTGGTAAAAAGTCCAAGTTCCCCAGCTGCTGGCGTTTTCTGTTCCGCTCCAGGTGCAGACCGACGTCTTTGCCACGAACGCCTTGCTGAGCGCCGCGGAGAAAGTTTCATCTTGGAAGGAGGTGGGGCAGCGGGCCACCGTGAGCATCCCGGCAAGCGATTTCCCATAAAACCCATTGAAAATTGCCATTTAGTTCGTTGATTTACCGATTAAAAATAGTGATTTTCCATAGTTTTTTGTATGTTTACCAGAGGGTAATTATAGCTGGGTAGGTCCCATGTACCGCCATGTTTGGGAACCACTTACCAAGTTGGGGGGACAGTTGCAGAAACCCTAAAGTGAATGCTTGATGAAAGAATGATGCAGCTCGTTGCCGTCAATTTCGGAAAACCACGGGTCCAAACCCAGTATGTCAAAATATCCCACTATAAAAGTGTTTCTTGCCACTTAACCGAATTCACCCGTGGCAAGCGGGCATAGAACCGGTCAGGAAGCTAATTTGTACGATTGCCTAATAATTACCTGGAAAAACCATGGCTTAGCAGGTTAATCGATAAGTGCTTGGCGAATTGGAAGATTCTATTTTGGTGCCAATCACAAAAAGGTGGCTTGTGGCAAAGTATCTAATTAAAGCTCACGGCGTCACAAAAAAATATAGGGCCGCACGAGCCATGGCTGGATTCCATTCCCAGCTAGTGGATATGAGCCATGGCGATCGTAAATCCCACTTTTGCCGGGCTCCGTGCATAGACACTATGTGGGATAGTCATCCAAATACATCCCGAAACCATAGAACAGCTATTTACCATTTTGTATTTAGCAGCTTAGCAGATATTCATAAATATTTAATGGCTAATTATTAATGGACAGTAATAGATATTCATAGTATTTAATAGTACCGTCGATCTTCTTAAGGGTTGCTATAGATCTGAAATTCGCGGTGCCCAAGGCGTTGCTCTTGGCGCCGCTGACGCATGAGGTCGATGAGGTGCCTACCATGGCGGCTCAGTGGGAGTTTCTAGTCTATGGAACTATTATATATATATACATAACATTGAAATAATACTATATACTAGATCATTTTACTATGATTTCTATGATTCATATTGTATAATCAGGATTTAGTATACAACACGATAGTCCGGAATATAGAATATATATATAGTATATAACGTTAGAATACTATATCATAACATGATGTACTCGTGTGGGAAACCCAGCAATACACCATTTGCATTTGGAGATGGTTGAAATCCCACAGGGGCGCCATTGGGTTGGATGATCTCCTTTGATGTTGGAATGTGTTGCTGGTTAAAGGTTGTCATTTCCATAATCTTCACTTTAATCAATGGGAATTCCTTACATAGGCCTGAAAAATAGGCCTTATATATGGTAGGTACCTCCAATAAATCGGTTCCTGAAATGGCCATTGATTTAACCCTCATTTTTTGCTACTTAAACCTGAGTCCGAATGAAATCACGCCAAAAAGAACTCACTGAAAAAGCATGGCAGTCCCAGTGACCACCGCAAAGTTCCCAATTGCTGTGGCAACATTACAGTCTATATAAGTTATTTTCATTGCAATGATTATCATTACAGGTTATTCTCTCATTCTTCCCCATTCTCATGCTGCAATCCCGCAATAAAAAAACAAGCCGATGCACAAGTTTTTAAGCCTACTAAAATAGTGGCACTACATCTACTTATCCGACAGCTTTTATCCAAGGTTGTCCACGTTCATCCTATTATCCATCAAGGTTTTCCTGTTTCTCCATTCCGATAAGTTGTCCCTATTATGTCCATGAATAGTTCCCCATAGGATAGCGGATATGTATAATATTGGTTCAGTTAATCACAGGCCAACTATCAACCATTATTAACAACTATGAATATTAACCACTATTAACCACAATCACTATTAACCACTAACCACCATTAACCTTCAAAATCACTATTAAGGTTAATCTTTAGTAACCACTAACATCTAACCATCCTTGAAAATCACCGATTTCAGGTGAGCCTCGGCTCCCTGGTGGCCGCCTGCAACGGCGCCGGCTTCTGGGAGGCGGCCTGGCAGCTCTTTGCGGAGCTGCGGCCCAGGACCGCGGAATTCTTGGAGGCGGTGACATGGGGAAATTTTCTATATATATATATATTTTTATATTTATGTATGGTTATTAAAAGATGGTTATATGGAAAATATCTATTAAGAATAACCATATATAAATATTGATATATATATATAGACACAAATTCCATAGATGTTATTAATAGATGGTTATATATATATATGGTATAACAATCAATATGGAATTTGTGTCTATTGATTGATGATTATATTTACATGGTTTTAGTAATGGATATATGAGTGGTGTTTATTGGCTCTAGTAAAGTTATATATATAGATATATAGATATCGGGGGATTTGTTTTGATGATTCAGCATGGCATTCTACTGATGACATTGCTCACTGCAAAGCCACCTGACCCTGAAGAGATCTGCAGACTTTTGGTTGCTTACGGCAAGAAGATGTTTGCCTCTGGGAAAGCATATGGGAAGTTTGCTGAAACCATCAATGCGATCGCCGCAGCACGACCAGCCCTCAGGAAACAGCTTGGGCAAGCATGGGATTTGGCATTTGCTTGGCTAGCAGATGAACCAAGCCAACACCACCCAGCTCTACCACTTTCTGTCCTTTGTGGGGCTGGCCTTTGATTCGACCTTATATTGCCAACAGATGCTGCGCCGGGAACTCGGTTTGCGCTTTTGCGCATCAAACTGCCAAAGACCTGGGGCCGGTCCGCTAAACACCAGGCGGCCCGAGTTGAGCCCCCCGACATAGTGCAGCTGCTGGCGGCAGTTTTCGGCGCGATTCCAGCTAATCGCAAACTATGGCCATGGTCTGCTGCGACGTTGAGGCGGAGGTTCAACTGTCTTCTCGCTGGACTTGGCCTCCCCATCTCAAAGGTCCATGGCAGACGACCCTTTGATTTGGGGTCATTGCGACCCATTTCTGCTGGGGTATTGCCAGCAGTTGCATCCCAGTGCCGATAGTTGGTCATCCAAATGGTGCGGCTTACGTTTAAACATCCATAAGTGGAGGATACACTCGGCAACCCGCTACAGCAATAAACTGAGACCGTAATGGGGGGGTCTGATGGGATGCATAACCAATTTGTGATGCTCGGGTGTGTCTGCTGGAGGTTCTGAACCAAAGGTAGCCCCCATGTCATGGCCGTTTTACCCTCTGGTAAACATACAAAAAGCTATTGAAAATGGCAATAGAAATAGTGGATTTACCCAATAAAAATGGTGATTTTCCATAGTTACGTTAGTTTACCAGAGGGTAATATTGGGATCTGAAGTTGGGAGCTATTTTGTTTTCGTGGTACCTGATTTTGGACACAGCAATGGTCCGGGGATTCTGAGTGGAGGTGGATTTGACGTCGCTGGCGCAAGGAGATTGGTTGCCAGCGATGTTACCTTGAATGCCGTAACAACTGCAGCACAACAAGGGAACAAGCTGCTTGGCTGACCAGATGGTGAGAGATGTCCAGTTCAGGTTCCATTTCCTGAGAAGGATTCAAATATATGAACATATATATATATATATCCACTGTACGTTCATGTTGTTAAAACACGATGTACCCAGTTTGATTGCTTAAATCCTCCCATCACTGTTTCAGGGGATCATCACCTGAGGTGGCGTTCTGCGCTGAAGTTTTTCCGCTCAAGCAGGGACGCGAAGAACGCGCTGCTGAGCGCATGCAGCGCAGGTTGCGACGGGACAGGG